CTTTGGCTTAGGTATGTTGAATGATACCATCATACCTAATACAGAGATGAGGCAGAACTGTCTACTCCTAGCAGAGACTGATTAGAAGATGAGGACAGAGCAGTCAATCTTGCAGAGATGGTGTGAGAAGCTTCCTTTGTGTACGGGTACGGGTACTATCACTGCACTGGCTTGTCACCGTGAAAAAAAACCAGTTGTGTGTGGTTGCAGTAATAATGCTAGAGCCAATTTCCATTTAATTATTTTCATTTGGTCCAGCTATCTCACTGGAACTCAGTGACATGTGGATGTAGCTTAGACACTGGGCACTGAGGAAACTCTGCATTAGGGCTGCCAGCTCTGGGTTGGAAAATACCTGGAGACTTCGGGGGTGGATCCGGGAAAGGGCAGGGTTTGGGGAGGGACAGGGGCCTCAGCATGGTACAACACCATAGAGTCCACCCTTCAAAGCAACGTCATCACGTTGGGGATGCCCCACCCCTTCCAGGAACGCCCCCAAAGTCTCCCGCTGGGGGTGGAAGATGGACTTGGCAACCCTACTAACGAAACACTCATAAAAAGAGATTGTAACTCATTCTGAACTTATTCACATCTCATTAATAATTCTTAAGTAGTCAAAAAAGTCTTGTTGCATAATGCCCTGTAAGAAAGCAAAATGTTGGTACATGAGTAAGAACAAATCACGGGAGGAAGTAAATTAGAACTGGAATGGAATTTAATTCTACTGGAGAGTTCCTTTTACTATATGGATTCTGGTACCAGTACTAAAGTCAAGACTGCAAGATCTCTGTCTTGAGTAGCAATTTTAGATTGTGTTTGATGGTTAAAATGTATCAGTCACCTGAACACTCGTTATCCATTGATGTCTCCAGTGCATTCCAGTAGACCAGCAAGTTATGAGGCGTGACATGATGGGATGTCACAATTTTCTTAAAGTGACATACAGAAAATGCGACTTCTCCTGGAAAGAATGTTTGCTTTGAATGGAGTTCTTCAGGTATAATATTGAGTTCTGCAAGGCAGAGACCTATGAAAACATCTTCCAGTTTGATGAAAGTGATATTTTGGTAAACATTATATACCTGATTAGCAACATCAGTGGATAAAACATAACCAGTCCCTGAGCAAAAAGGAGGGTAATTATTTCGTGGAAATTCAGAGTAACTCACGTACCACTTGCTGGAAGTATCTCGTATTGGACGGTCATTCAGTTTTAGAAACCCAGTAAAGAATCTAGTAGTCCTGTTTTTCTTTAAAAGGAGTTCCGTTAGGTAATAGGGATTCACAAACATGTCAGAGTCAGTTTTCATGACAAAGCTAGATTGTGGACAGAATTTGTGAACCCATTCAATGCCCATCATGGTCTTTAATGTCAAATTGTAATAGGTATCTATAAAATCCTTTTGGATGATGTCTCTATATTTTTGGCTTTCAGCAGTAACAGCAATCTGATTATCGTGATTCAAACTAATTCCCAGAAGAAAAAATGTCACAATGTGTTTGTTGGCAATTAAGTGTTTTTTGCCCCATGTGTCACGGATAGCCATTCGGGTGTCTGATTGGCTTGGTGATGATGTTACAAGAATTACCAGGAATGGAGGGTTCCTACTGCAATCTATATGTGGCAGGTGCAAAAAGTGTTCACCTGGCCATTTAAATAAACTACTCTTATTGTTTGTTTGACAATCAGTGCAAATTCCGATAGAAGTCAGCTTGTAAAACAAACCTAATCCAGCAGAGACCAAAAACGAAGTGAAAACAAGCACCTTTCTCAGTCTCTTGGAAGTCATCTGAAATAAAAAGAGGACACTGATATAAGGAACATTCTAGGTTGCTTCACTGATGCCTAGTAAACCGAGGACTGATCTACAAATCTTGATTAATTACAGGTATGATTGATTATAGGTCATTCTGACAGTGGCAGCCACTGAAACATTGTTTTTTTAAAAATATGACATCTGTACAGTTGAAGAAAATGTGCAAACTGCAAAATTCAGCTTTCAATAAGGAATGCAGCTAGAACTGGTTATAATAGCTTAGAGCCTCTTTGTCCACATGTAATGGGTTGGATCCTGCCAGGTTTTTTTGCTCAATGTCACCCCATGCCCCTCCTTACTACAGCTCTTGTCCAAAATGGCTTTTATAGATGCAGGTCCCATGATCCCAAGCATAGCCTTATGGGTGGTCAAAGGGAAACCCATCTTCCCCTTTTTAACAATAGAAAAGCTGGCTGGATCCAATCCACTAATAACTAACCACCTTGGTTTCACACAGGAAAACTGGTGAATTGAAAAACACTAGAAAGGCCACATATTCCTTTATATGGTGAAGTTTTCAGTTTTTCATACAGGGACTAATTCCACACACATTTCCTCACCCGAAATGGCACAGTTGGCATGCCTTTATTATGTCAAAAATTAAGGTGTGCATTTACCTCAAACTGGCAAGAGGAAGTGAGATAAGAGTACCCAACAATGCTTTTATGACTGTGATAAATTGCCAAGAGGAACTTGAACTGTCTTTATCCTGGACCTCAAGCATACAAGGATTTATAATGTAAGTCAGCAGCTGGTTAATAGTTACAAGAATTACCAGGAATTATATTTAACTATATTTATTTTAAAAAAAAACAATGTTCAGCTTAATTTCTACTTATTTTGTTCCTTAGCTGTACAACAGATTCAAAGGCTTCATGAAATAATAAGGTTATGACTGTTATTTAATGGAAATTATTCCATTATATCAATACATGAAATTTTACTTTACAATGATATAGTTATATTTTCTTGTTCTAAATAAGCTATTATAAAGGAAAAAATTACACGTATTCACATACTTCTCTTACCTTGAAGGAATAATTGAATTTAGAAAGAAAGTTTGAGTGCCAAGGCAGCATCTGATGAAATCCAGAACAAGATGTGTGTTAGTGAAGTACAAATAAATTTTACTCCCATATTCGTAATGAAAGTGTAAATCCTTATATTTATCATAGAATCATATCCCAAAGCAAATAAGCATACTAGGAATTGTGTAAACATTTTATCTAAATCAAATAAGTAACATCTTTCCTTGTGGGGTTTCCACATGGAGGTGGGCTTGTAAAGGTTCTGCTGAGGTCACTGCTAATACTATGGGGCTTCCACATGGCGGGTTCCCCCAGTTTCCCTGCCCCAGTTCCTCACAGCAGCCTTCCCTGGGCCACTGGGTCTTTTGCAATTTTTTTTAATGGCAACTGAAAATTGCTATTTTGATATATGTGTCACAGGTTGTCTGAAATCTCTAGCTGCTTCTACTGCGGAGATATTACTTTCCCGTTATATCTCCACAATGGAAGGGGTTAGAGAGTTCATAAAGGGGTCATACATCCACCTTAAGGGCTTCTCGGAAGTGGAGCTGTGCTATTGCCCTCCAACATCCCACCTGTGCACCCCACAAATTCAGAACCATTCTCTATTGGTCCAGAGCATGAAGATGAGTTTATAGAGTGGGTCACATGACACAGAGACTGGCTCTGGCAAAATCGTGAAACAATTTGGGGTGAAATTGAGGCTCAGAGCCATTTAAACGCTGCTTTCTGCTCTTCACAAACCACCACAAACTGCCTTAACATTTGTGGATATTTGCGGCAGGTCTTCAGTTTGTGAACCCTGAACCAGCCAAAATTTGTCTTAAACTTATGTCCATGAGCCAGTTTGTGCCCATCCCTAATCATATCTACAGGGAAATCCCCTAGAGCCAACAGAAAATCATTCAGATTCATCTGGGTCTGTGGTCAGATCATTTTAATAGATGCCCCATCTGTGTTGAGTCTTGGTATCCCTTTAAGTCGAAACCCAAGCAAATAGTGATCTGCCCATGACAAAGGAACCATTGTCAATTCCTTCACTCTTGGATCACATTCCTCCTGCCTAGATCAAAATACCAGATCAAGAGCGTGACCTGCACAATGTATAGGACCAGATATTACCTGAGAGAGGCCCATGGTTGTTACTATGAAATCCTGAGCTACCCCTGACAAGACAGCCGTAGCATGAATGCTGAAGTCCCCCAAGACAACCAGCCATCCCTGAGACCACCTCTATCAGCTCAGACAGGGAGACCATTAGGCAGTAAATTGGACAGTTCACTAGGAGAATCCCAATCCTGTTTCAATCAAACAACATTAGGTACACAGCGTTAAAACTAGTAGTGTCCTGGATGGGGCACTGTTTTAGGGAGATAAAATCTTTACAGACTACAGCAACAAGGAAACAGTACTTTTATGCCACTATTACATCTGCACAATGCCGGCCAGCAGAGCCATTCTGGGTGGTCAGAGGTCTATTGCGATCTGGCCTGCAGGAAGAGATGGACTGCTCAGTGATCTACTGCGATGTTTGGTTCAACAGTGACAGGGTCAGATGGTGCCAGGGTGCCAATTTGTCCAGCTGTTTGGGATCCTTTTCAGTTTATTCAGTCTGAGAATGTGGACAGGGTCCTTGGAGGTTTGAGGTCTACCACCTGCTAGTATGACACTTGTCCTTCCTGGCTCTTAAATCTGCCTGGAGGGCTGACTGAGTCTGAGAGGTAGTTAATGCCTCCTCGAGAGACAGAGTGGTTGCCCCAGCTTTGGAACAGGCTGTGGTATGTCAATTACTAAAAAAGCCTGCCCTGGACCCAGGAGAATTCAGTAACTATAAACCAGTCTCAGTTGTTCCATTCTTGGGCAAGGTGGTGCCTGGACAACTTCAAGCATTCCTGAATTAACCAAATTATTTGGATCATTTCCAGTTTGGTTTCAGGCCTAGTTATGGGACGGAAACAGCCTTGGTCACCCTCATGGATGACCTTCACCAAGAGATGTACACAGAGAGCACAACTCTGTTGATTCTCCAAAACCTCTCAGTGCCTTCTGTTTCCATTGATCATGGTATCATTCTGGACCACCTTTCCAGGTTGAGTAGGGAGGCACTGTTTTGTGGTGGTTACAGTCCTACCTGGTGGGTAGGTATCAGCAGGTGGTGCTGGGGGAACTATGCTCAGCCCCTTGGCCTCTGTCCTGTGTGTTTCCTCAAGGCTCCATCACGTCCCCTATAATTTTTTAAAACATATATTTTTTATTTTAGAAAACAAGATAGTAATAAAATGGATACAAAAGAAAAGAGGGATTATATAATAAAAAAGGGATTGTATAACAAGTCAGATACCTCAAAAATACACTGCAAGATATATCAAACAATAACAATTGTTTCTTCCCAACATACCCATCAGAATTTTTGGGACATTTTCTATAAAGTACAATGATTCTTATGTCAAACCTTTTAAATGTCAAATTTTATAATCGATCTATTTTACAACTGTATTGTTAATTTCATCATTACTGCATATTCTACATTGCATATTTCATCATTCTACTTATTATCTATGACTTTTAATATAAGAAAGTTTAAGGAAAAATCTATTATGTATTTGAAAAGGGATATTTTTTTCCTTATACATTTATAATCAAAACTAGAACATAAGAACATAAGAACATAAGAGATGCCAATGTTGGATCAGGCCAAAGGCCCATCCAGTCCAACACTCTGTATCCCACAGTGGCCAGAAATACCAGTGCCATCAGGAGGTCCACCAGTGGGGCCAGGACATTAGAAGCCCTCCCACTGTTGACCCCCCCCAAGCACCAAGATGACAGAGCATCACTTGCCCCAGAGTCCCTATCTATACCTTGTGGCTAATAGCCACTGATGGACCTCTGCTCCATATGCTTATCTAATTCCCTCTTGAAGCCGTCCATGCTTGTAGCCGCCACCACTTCCTGTGGCAGTGAATTCCAAGTGTTAATCACTCTTTGGGTGAAGAAGTACTTCCTCTTATCCGTTCTAACCCGACCGCTCAGCAATTTCATGGAGTGCCCACGGGTTCTTGTATTGTGAGAAAGGGAGAAAAGTACCTCTTTCTCTACCTGCTCTTTCCCATGCATAATCTTATAAACCTCAATCATGTCACCCCTCAGTCGTCGTTTCTCCAAGCTAAAGAGCCCTAGTTCTCATTCAGCCTTATCTTATAGTACCTTCATATACAATACATTTATATACAATTTTAAACTGTTCCTCATTCTAATGTTTAAACTATTTTTCTTTCTAAGTTTGTCTCCTGCTTGCATAATAAGTATGGTAAACACTCCATCTCGCCTCAGGTTTTGAAATTGATTTGTTTTGCAGATAAGTTGTTAATTTTGCCATTACTGCATAATCAGCAAGTTTATTTTCCCAGTCTTCTAAGCTTGAGCAGACATCTGATTTCCATTTTGCTGTATAAGTTATTCTACCTGCTTTCACCATATATTCAAATATCTCTTCCAAAACTCTTGGTAATTTGTTAGGTAATATTCCTAATCGCATATTCTTCACTTCCATGGGAAATTTAAATTTTAATATATTCTGCATTTTCCCATGTATTTCCTTCTAATATTTCTTTGCCTTTTTACAAGTCCACCAAATATGGGAAAAGGTTCCATCTATGTCCTGACATTTCCAACATTTTCCTTTGTAGTTTTTGTCTACTTTCTCAATATCCCTTGCAGTAATATTCTATCTAGAAAATATTTTATACCAATTTTCTCTTAATGCCTGGCTGACTGTGAACTTAATTCATTTTTCCCATAGTTGTTCCCACTGTTGCATAGGTATTTGCTTTCTGAAGTTCTGCATCCATTTAATCATGCATTTTTTCACTTGCTCTTCTTCTGTTTCAAACTGAAGTAATAACATATATCCATTGTAATAAGTGATCTTTTTGTTTTATAATCAGTTGTTTGAATTCAGTCCTCTCTTTTAAAGTTCCACCTTCCGTGTTGATAATCTTCTTTAAACTTGAAGTTGATTGGTAATACAGTAATCACTGAATACTAATTCCTTCATCTCTGATATCTTGCCAGGGTTTATGTTTCCCCTGAGCGTTTACCATATTGCCATACATTTCAAAAAATCGCTTCTTTTGGGGCCATAAATTGAGAATTTGGGGGACTCAATATTTTCAGAAGTCCATCTCTGATTATATTACTTTCTCAAGTTATGATCATTTAAGTTGATTTCTTGATCCATAAGTAACTATGTAGACCTTCATCTAAGTTTGCTGACGTCCCCTATGATTTCCAACAACTACATGAAAATTGCTGGGTGAGAGCATCTGAAGATTGGGGCTGGATTATCACCAATATGTGGATGACGCTCAGCTTAATCTCACATTTTCATCTGATTTCAGGAAGGCTATAAAAGCCCTTAACCAACAAGACAGAAGTGCTACTGGTGAGCGGAAGGTCTGACCCAGGATTTAAGATGTCATCAGTTCTAGATGGGTGACTGTCAGGACCCACAGTCAAACAACCGAGCACACGCTTCTTCGAAGGTTTTACTTTATTGTTAGCACTATGGTAGCATAGACACAGGAATAACTACGACACAGAAAGCTGAGAGAGATATAGGGTATTCAAATGCACCCCACACACACACCTATGGGCCAATCGGCCTGACTCCCGCAGGCGAGAAAGAGGACCAAGGCAGTTAGAGCCGAGGCTGGGAAACGAAACTAGTCTCACGGTTACTTGATGGGAAGACACTACACAGGCTGGTTACAAGGTCAGTGATAACGAGGGGGAGAAGTGAAAAGAAAGGAATGCGGCAGCAACTGGCACACAGGTCATGAAAGCGAACCCGGGCCCATAAACTATATGGCAGCATAGCTAACATTGACACCTTAAACAAGTCTGAGAGTGCTTTTGGACCCAGGCCTACTGCTGGATAAGCAGGTGGCAGCTATGGCACGGAGTGCCTTTTACTGGCTTTGACTCGTTAGCCAAGTGTGACCTTTCCTGAGTGGGTAAGTTCTGACTACTGTAGTACATACCCTGGTTACATCTAAATTAGATTACTGCAAAGTATTGTATGTGGAGCTGGCTTTGAAAAGTGTTCAGAAATTTCAATTGCTGCAGCCAGGATGCTGACTGGAGTGGATCATAGGTGCCCAACTGCTACAGTCATCTTCTGAGGCACTGCTTTGGGTGCCTCCACTTTCTGACATTAGACAGGTGTCAATCCAAGAGACAGCTTTCTCAGTCAGGGCACCAAAACTCTGGAACTCTCTCCCAGAGAGACTCACCTTTCCCCATCTGTTACCATCTCCCACCAGTGAGGAAAGATTTTTTGTTTGTTTTATCTGGAGTTCCCTCAGTGATCACTCCTTCATGCCGTATGATTTAAAAGTTGTTTTTATGTATGTGTATTTTAGCTTGGCTTTAATTCTTTTAATGATGTGTTTTTGTTTGGTTTTAAAGGTTTTAAAGACTTTTTATAATTTGTTATTACTACTTTTGTTTTATCGTATTTTAATTTTGTTAACTGTCTTGGTGGCCCTGATGAGCACAAAAAGGTGAGGTATACATTTTAAAACATAGCAATGATAAAATAGCAAGTACTTTCATGGGGGTAGATAAACAGGGAAGGTTCATCCAAGAATGGATATGTAACAATAACTGAGCTATAAGTGCTGAAATTTTAAGATATAGATGAGGCAGGATATAAATATTTTAAATAAATAAAAATTAAGTAGTAAGAATGTATAGGTTCAAGGTCTTTTTCCCTAGACCTTTCTAACACAGTCAATGTTAGACAAAGACTCTACATTTAGCTACAGTCTGACGTGTTCAACAGGGATGGCTCTCTGTGCGCCTGCATTTGTATACCTCCAGGGCTCTCTGTTTCCACAAATGTTTTTGCAGTTTCAGGAGAAAAAACAAGGTTTCTCCCCTTTTGCCTCACAGCATCAGACTTCCATGTTTCCAGGAATTCCCATGCTGCACCACAAGAGGGGGCAAACTTTGTTTTGGCTCCTGAAACTGCAAAAACATTTGCGGAAATGGGGAAGAGCCCCGGGAGGTATACAAATGCAGGAGCATGGAGAGCCATCCCTGCGGAAAATGTCTCTGATAGGAGGACTCAATTG